GGGAATTGGCTTCACCTCTTACCAGCACCTGCTCTTATTCCCTGTCTCAGATCCTGGTCATGAAGCACTACTTACATCCAATTCTGAAAGAGTCTGTGTCCATCTGTAATTTGGAAGGTCAGCTCCATTGCCAGAGTTGGGCTTAAGTTTTCCTTTATCCTTCTCATCTTCTTCTTCTTCATCATCTGTTCCCTAAGCAATCCAAGATCAAGAAAGAAGCTTTTCCAGTTTCCATTGTAACAACAGCTCTTAGGTTTTTTAAGGATTGCAGGTCAGTTCTTTGTATTTTATATCCCCTTGAATTTAGCTCCATAATTAATAGCTGCTTCTGGTAGAACATGACTACAAGAAAAAAACCCACAAGCCCTCTGTACTGGCACATTTAGGGATTAACTATGCATTTTTAACACCAAATTGTCTAATTTCTATTTTCAAAGTGTGTATTTTGGCCAGGGCTTGGAGCTACCTGGTGTAGTGGAAGGTGTCATGGCAGAGGGTGGAACGGGATGAGCTTTAAGGTCCCTTCCAACCCAAACCATTTTATGCATCTGAAGTATCTCCAGACGAGTTTTACCTGTTTGTTGGAATCTGAAGATTCACCTTCCTCCTCCGAGGGTTTCACTGGGACACTGTTACCCTGCCCTTGTGCCTCCTTCTTCTGTTTGAAAAGAGAAGAGAGGAACACGCTCAGCCAGGAGCTGGCACCTTGTGTCACCTCCTGAGCTGGCACTAGATGGCCTCAGCCTTTCAGCTCCAGCTGAAGAGCACCACTCACTGCATCCCACTGTGAAAACAGGCAATCTTCAGCCCTTAGAAAAGTTACAGCAAAGAGGCACTGCAAGGGGAAGATCTTGGACAAAGAGCAAGCCCGAGCCGCTCGAACCCCTCGCAGCCACAGGGAGCACAAAGCTGCACCCGCAGCTACCCGAGAGGCTCTCACCTGGTTGATTTCCAGCTGCAGCCTCTCTGCCTCCTCCTCTGTGAGCTCCTTGATGCGAGGCTCGCCGGGCTGGGGGCAGTCCCTGTCCTGCTGGCGCTGGCTGGCCAGGCGTGCGGCGCGCTCGGCCTTCTCGCGCCGCTCGGCCTCCTGCCGCGCCTTCTTCTCCCGGCGCTCCTTCTGAGCCAGCTTGTTGTGGTGGCTGAAGGCCTCTGTGATCAGCTGGGGAACAGGAACACGAGGGGTTAAACAGCACCCTTCACACCCCAACCCAGCCAGCTCGGTCTCCTGAGGAGCACAGGTGTGGATCTGGTGTGTTCCTGGGGGTCTGGAGATCCAACTGGGCACCGGCACCAGCTCGGTCTCCTCAGGAGCACAGGGTGTGGATCTGCTGTCCCTGGAGGTCTGCAGATCCCTGGGCACCAGGGGATGCCCAGTCGTTGGACATCCACTTGGATGGTGGCTTGTTGTGGTGGCTGAAGGCCTCTGTGATCAGCTGGGGACAGGGGCACACGGGGTTAAACAGCACCCACTTCACACCCCAACCCAGCCAGCTCGGTCTCCTCAGGAGCACAGGGTGTCTGAACCTGCTGTGTCCCTGGGGGTCTGGAGATCCAACTGGGCACCAGCTTGTTGTGGTGGCTGAAGGCCTCTGTGATCAGCTGGGGACAGGGGCACACGGGGTTAAACAGCACCCACTTCACACCCCAACCCAGCCAGCTCGGTCACACAATGTGTGCTGAGTCCCACAGATGTTGGGAATCTTCCCTTCATCTTCACTCAGTTTTTGTGACTGGAAATCTAGAGATTTTTCAATTCAGAAAAACAGAGGAGGAAGTGAAAAGGGAGGAAAAATAGAAAATTTGAAATATTTAAATGTAGTCCTTCCCAGTTACCCAAGAGTATGTTTCCAGGAGAGGACAGTGAAATAAAAATCCTCCACTAATTTTGTCCTTCGTGCAATTCCAGCAGGATGAGCTGATGCCCAACCCAGCTATCTGAAGCTACTCCACACCTCCAGGACAGCTGGACACACCAGATCCACCTCCTTTACCTACTTCTGACCTTCCCCACACCCGGGCTTTTCTCCAGACGGAGCCTCAGTGCCACCATTTAGAGGAGAAACGCTTGAATCACTTGTTTTTACACTGAGGGGCAAGCTCCTCCACGAATCTTTTGCTCCAGCCCTGCTCCCAGTCAGTCCCCTGAAGGCTGTTGTGACTCTGGGAGGCAAAATCCCAAGGTCTCTGCTGCCAAGGGCCGCGTGCTCAGCGGGAAAGCTGAGTACACAGGCAGGGAGCCAGAGAATTGCCCCAGGCTCGATAAGGCCAGGGGTGCTGTGCACAGCAGCACGTAGGTGAGCTGAGGTCTGCCCCAGAAAATAACAGAGACAGACCCTCAGCAAGGAATCAGAGGAGGAACATTTGTTTTTTTTTTTATATATATATATATCCCAGGAGCTTCAGGGTGGGGGGGAATCCAGAGCCTTTTCCAAGCAAGCTGTAGCTTGGAAGCAAGCACTGAGTGTTTCTGCTTGGCTTTATGAGCAAGGATTGTTTACTCAGCTCAGCTCCACTCTCCTGGAGTACAGAATGCAAGGTGTGCATCCCCCAGGATGTCCCAGCCTGCTCCCAACCCCATGATCCAGGGTCAGGAAACCTGAGCTTGTCCCTGTCACTGCCCACAGTGACTTTCCCACCCTCTCCTTTCCCTTCCACGGCTCAGCAGGGCTGGGGAAGCAGCTCCTTCCCTGTTTGTTGTGGTTCCCGTGGTGCCAGGGCACTTTTCCAGGAGGCCATGAAGCATTTTGACACCCAAGGCACCAACACTTCTCTTGCACAGGCACAGAATTGCCCAGGACAGCAGCCAGGCACCTCTGAGCTGCCTCTCAGGTGGGATCACACAGCCTCCAGCCACGGGGGAGATCTGCTCTCTACTCCAACAAAAATGACAGCAGGGTTCACCTTTCTCTCTTTCTTTCAGAGAATCACAGGATGTTTTGGCTGCAAGGACCTTGAACCCCTCCAGTTCCAGCAAGAGCTCCCTGCAGGGCAGGGGATGCTGTGCCCAGGCTCCCCAGCCCAGCCCAGGGGCAGCTGCATGTGCAGAGCCCTGGACTTTGTGTTTTCCCTGGCCTGAACAAACAAGCTAACGGGGGTTATCACCTGCTGTGTCACCAGTAAGTCAGTGTGTCTGGCAGGTTTGCTCTCCAAACTAGCCTTTGGCCAGAGCCTGGCAAGAATCCTGCCCTGAGGTGCCACCCCAGCAGGGCACTGGGTGCTCCTCACCTGGCAGGGGCAGCTCTGGGTCTCCCTCCCTCGGGAGCTGCTGGTGCCCACGTGCACCCAGATGTGGGAGCTCTCCAAGCAGGGCACCCCTGGCATGGCACAGACACGGGTGGGATGGAAGGGGGAAGAGCAAAACGCCTGGAGGTTTATTTTTTTTACCTTCTCTGCTACTCCGTCCTCTCCCCCGGTGAAGAAATCTGTCTTCCTCCTCAGGAAGCTGAAGAAGGTGTTCACGAGCTGGAGAGACAAGGAGCAGTGAGCCCGGGCCACTGAAGGCCACCTGGAGTCCCTGGAGCAGCCTTTATCCTTTGTCCTCCCTGTGTGAGGCTGTGCCCTGGGGCCAGCCCCGTGAGCCCAGCAGAGCTGAGCAGAGCCAGCCCTGCTCTCCCTGCACACAGGGCTTGCTGTGCTTTGCTTGAAGGCAGCAGCTGATTCCCAGCTCCTGCTGCCCCAGCCCAGGCTGCTGCCCCAGGCAGGAATGGATTTATGCATGCACACATCCCCACGTATATATAAATATATATATAAATATACACATAGCTTCTTTGCACGTCTGCAAACTCCTTATTTTTCCAGCTGCCAGGGGCCACTGATGCACGAAGCAGCAGCCCCAGATCCCCTCTGCAAGCCCACATCCTCCCCGAGCTTGGCCAGTCTTTGTTTCCCAGCAATGCTGCCCCGCGGGGTTTCACTCCGAGCTGCTGCACCGCACCGGGGGCTCTCACAGGACCTTTTTGAGAAGTTATTCCTGAGCGGGATGTGGGTGGGAGGTTGTTCCCAGGTCAGCGCCTGGCTCCCGGAGCCGCCAGCCGGTGGCACCGGGGATGCACCGGGGATGCACGGGGGGAGCCCCCGATCACGGCCAGGCCTCGCGGGGAGGGTGAACGGGGCAGCCGCACGCTGCCCTGCGGTGCTCTGCCCCGCTGTGACCCACCGCAGGCACCGCCGCGCTCCCGGGGCCCTCCCGGGGCACCGGGGCCGGGCTGCGAGCCCACGGCGAGGGCGCCTCATTAACACCGCGCTAATTAACGGGCGGGCTGGCGCTGCCGGGGGCCGTTACCGCCGCTCCGGCAGCGGCGCACGTGCGTGCCGCGCTCCACGTGCCGGGGCGGGGCGCGGGGAGGCCGGGCCGCTCCCCGCTCGCTCCTCCGCTCCCGCCCCGCCCTCCCCGCGCCCGGTGCCGGCGGCGCTACCTCGCGCACGCCGCCCTGGTGCTGCTGGGCCATGGCGAGCAGCATCCCGTCGAAGCGGTCCTCCTGCTCCGCCGCCTCCTCCGCGCTCAGCCCCATCGCGCCGCCGCTCCCGCACCGGGCCGCCGCCGGAACCGGAACCGGCGGCCGCGGAAGCGCGAGGCGCTCCCCGCCCGCCAATCCCAGCGCGTCCCCGCGCCGCCCTCTTGGCTGATTGGTGGCGGAGGCTGTCAATCTTGCGGGAAAGGGCGGGCCGCGAGGCGCGGCGCGGTTGTTATGGCGACGGGCCAGA